AGGTTTAGTAATAGTATAGGTTAGTATAATCGTTACCCTACGCCTAACTAGCGATTATTAGGAAAGTTATTATAGTTAGAGCTTGGGATTTATAGTAGGTGCTAGTATATAGATTAGTATAGTCATTATTCCTACGCTTAACTAATAACCGTAAATTCCTTTATTACTCTACGCCTAGACCTATTAAAGGGGAGGCGCCTTCGCCTAGCGTATTAGCAGTTATAATAGTTCCGCCGGTTATTACGTGTTTATTTAGTCTTAGTATACGTAGTCCGTAATAGCGACTACTAGTATACCACGTATTTATGTGGTTGTAGTATACCTAGTCCGCGCTAGGCGGTTACGCTTAGTATATAAGCGATTACTAGTAAACTATATACCCATTTAGCCTTAGTATACCTAGTCCACGCCAGGCGGTAATAAGCAAATCTTACCTAAAAGGTTGAGTTCCCATTATGTAATATACCCTATACTAAGCTTTTACACGCCTATTAACTACCGGCGCATAATAAGAGTAAAATCGATAAAACCACTAAGACAGCGATTATAACTATCGCCTCCCTCCCGAGATATTATTATCGCGGCACCGTAATACCGACGCGATAGTATAACCGGAAGAGTCGATAGATAGCGTTATCCCGACCTCGACTATATAAAATTCGTAACGGACCTACTTTTTGTAATACAAGCGCTCCCCCCCCCCTTCCCCCTTTACCCGAGGCAGGACGCTATACGGAACCGATACGAGACTGAAAGGGGACCGCCGCGCCCCCCAGAACCGGGTGTAAGTAAAATCAAAGCAGAAATTCAGGCCCTACTAGCTAACAGGAATACTGTTAAGCAGGTCGTGGAACTAGTAAAGGGACTAATCATAATATATGCCCGTAATATTACCGGTATAATACTATATAAAGAAGGATATAACATAGGACTCTGTCTAGCTTAAAGAGGCGTGACTTACTCGTAATAGCGTCTTCTATACCGCTAGCTTTGTAGCAGGAACCGCTACTACTAATTACCCTCTTCGAGCCTCTGCGATACTCGATTCCGGCGCTATAATTTATATTTTGAACGGTTTTTCCCGCTTTTCTGATTTTACCCCTATAACGCAGGGAAACTATATTATCGCAGACGGTTCGTCACTACCTATTAAAGATTACGGTAATATAACCGTGAGATTAAATAGACTAATAAGAGGCCTTTACCTATAGCTTAATCTCTAACTAACGGTTCCGACTATAAGGCTATTAGTAGGTTTAAAAGCCGCTAAATAACTCCCTCTAATATACTAATAGATCTATCCTATACTTGCTAAGTTATTACTTTAATTAGACTATTATTAAGTATATACCCTACGATTCTAACTACCCTATAGCTACTTTTCTAGGCTCAATCCCTTCCATTTGAAAAGGCGTCCGCAAATCGACGATATAATATCCTAGCACCGCTAAGGGGATCTTAAAGTACCTGCGGCTAAGGCAAGCCAACTCTAAGCCGCTTAGGTACCTAGAAGAGTAGACGTAAGGGGTTAAGGTTAAGAGACTAATAACTATTAAGTATAGGCCTATAAGCTTATAAAGATAAAATAGCATATTAGCACGCACCCTCGTACCATACCGATCTACGCAGGGGAATAGTAAGCGATTAATTTCATAGATTTTAAACGGACGTCTGATAAGGCTTCTCGATTTATACTTTTCACCGACCGTTATAGTAGCTTTATAGCCACCTATATTATAAAGAGTAAACTTATAGCGGATATCCTCGAAGTAATTAAGAACTTCCTCGCTTAGATAGACCGTTAATTAGGCTATAAGATACGCGTTTTCGAAGCTAATAATAACCTAACTTAATCCGACGATATTACCCTCTTCCTACACGGAAAAGGTATCCTTTTAGAGGTATCTACCCCTAACACTTAAGCGGAGAACAGACGTACTAAACACGCTACTACTATAATAATCTTGAAACGTTATACGATAAATATTCACGGAAAACTACTACCGTTTATATAGCCGAAGGTTATTCCCACGCCCATATACGTTCATAACCGCACGCCACAGACGCAGGATAATACTAAGGATTAGAAAAGGCTATATAAGGTCCTCTTTAGCAGGAAGCCGATTTTATTATATCTTCGAGCGTACAGCTATAAGGTATATATAATAACCAAGGACGCTTAAAAGAGGAATAATAAGCTATTAACTCGTATTGCTCCTCGTGCCTATATCGGCTACCTTATCGGTTACGATTCTACCAATATTTTCCGTATCTAGGTACCTAGCCTACGCCGCTATAACCGTATTATACGCACACGCGATATGGATTTTAACGAAGACACCTTCTTCGACAGGAATATTAATACCTCTAAGGACGATGTTCGTTGATTAATAGAAAAGAAATTAAAAGACCTAATTACTTAGATTAAGTAAAAGAGGACTAGAGAGTCACGGCCGTTTATAGACGTATAAGCTAAGGACCGCCCCCTTTATATAACTGCTTATTTTAAATATAACCACTTACTCTCGCCCTCGCCGGAGCTAGTTCCTCCCGGGTTGCGTTTCTCGGTATCGCCGAGGTTATAGACCTTAATACCCGGCTATAAGGGGCTAGAGAAGGGTATCTTAAGCCTAGATAGATAAGAGTTAAGATATAAACTATATAATTTAGCTAGTATAACGCCTAATTAACGTCTATAACCACCTAGTACACTACTCCCTACTCTACTAGATACTCGCTATCGGTTATAGCGCTAATAGTAGCTATAATATTATGATATCGTGATTCATTTATATTTCTGGAGTTCTTTATAAATAGAGGAGTATAATATAGTAATTCCCCTATAGCTACGCCTATACAGCTTTTTATAGAAAGACGAGCACGCCTATATAGGTAAGCAGATAGCCGGTAAAAAGAAGATTAGGTAGTAGCATTTAATACTAGCTATTACGCCCCGAATATACGCACCTTATATAGGACTTTGCTAACTAAATTACAGTTAAAAAGGACTATACTTATAACGCTATAGTAGCATTTATCGGTATTATTCGAGTCTATAGCCCTGGCGGCTATAGCTTAGTCCACGGCCTTAGCAGTTACGGCCCCGATAGCCTCGGAAAATATAATCCCGGCGGTTTCTCCGGCGGCTACGAAGATCTACCGTAAACACCTCCTACCTCCTCCGAAAAACTCTTATAATATACTCTTATACCCTTACGGCCACCCATTCCGATAGGCATAAAAAGACTATTTACGGAGCGACGAGGAGATAGGGTCGTAGATACGGGTACCGGCGTCCGTAGCAGATAGGAATCAGGTTCTTAACTCGATATAGGTAATAATATATAAATTCGATAAGCATAGTTATCTATATAAATATAAGGCACGGCTTATAGTATAAGCAGATTAGCAGTATTAAAATACCTTAAGGAGATATACATAGCTATATTAGTCGGACGGTTATTCCGAGGGTTAATAGCTATTACAGCCTGTTTTAACCTTACGCTATTATATTTCGACGTTATAAACGCGTTCGTATATACGTCCCTCCCCCACGATATCTTTATATACCCGTCGCTATGTTTTCCGGTCCCTAAGAGCCGTTTACACCTAAAAAAGGCGTTATATAGACTTAAGCAGTCCTTATTACTCTAGTAAAAGCACTTTTCGGCTATCCTATTAGCAGATGGTTTCTAGATAATACTGTAGGAATATTAGTACTTCCTACGTTATAGTATAACCCTGTTCTTCTACGTCAACGATATCGTTATTACTTATAAGGAATAATATAAGGTATAGATAAAGCAGGCTATTAATAACCTACGTCGCTACCATAACCTATAAGGTGGCGATCTATTATAGTAGTTCCGTAGTATTAAGGTTATTCACGACCATACCGCCTATAAGATCTAGCTATTATAACACGACTATAGTATAAAATTAGAACGCCTATTAAAGCCGAATGGCAAGTATCGCAGTACCTATTACCTAATACACCTAATTAAGATCGTAGAAGTAATGCCCTATTCATGGACCTTAACTAATATCAAAAGGTATTAACGGAAGATAGGATCTATACTATACGCCGCTATAGTATTTCGGCCCGATATTACATTTATAGTTTTAAGTCTATACCGCTTTAATACTAATCCAGGGCCTATACACTATAAGGCTACCGATTATCTAATCCTCTATCTAATGAATAGCTAATCGTTTACCTTAGAGCTCAGGGGTAGTAATACTATTAAATTCTATACGGATGTCTTCTTTACCGATAATATCCTTAATCGTAAAAAGCAGTTAAGCGTTCGTAAAACGGTTATTTAGAGGAACTATTGCGTAGCGCACTAATAAGCAGGATACGTATATAACGTTAATAACTGAAGCAGAACTACTAGCGTCAGTGTAAGGTATAAAAGAGGGCATCTTTATATAATAGCTATTACTTAGCATATAAGTGGAATTTAACGATCCGGAACTAAGGATCCTATACGATAATAACTAAATAATACGGTTAGTTAATTAAGAGATTAGCATATTAATAACACGCCTACGCTATATAGATATCCACAGCTACTAGTTATATTAAGTAAAGGAATACGGGTAAATACTTATAACGTATATTACGAGCGCGGAAATAATCGTAGATAGCCTAAGAAAGGCGTTATACGGTAAGAAGTTCGAGATATTCAGGGCCTAGGTAGGCGTGATAGATATACAGGAATGCTATATTAAAATAAGCTAGAGGAAGTCCTGATAGAATACTTAGAGGACCTAGAGGACGAATTTAAGGGCGGCTATAACGAAGAGATTGTATAGCTATTATATCTACCGGTTACGAATAGCTTTAATCGCCTAACTAACGTTTAGGGCGATTAGGGGTATATCGAATACACGGTAGTTTTTACGGTTACGTAACAGGCCGGATTACCGAGATTATAATCCGGGTAGACACCTGCAGAATCTTCACCACTAATATTACGGTAGCAGGAATTCTCTAACGGTCCATACATAGTTATAATTATACGTAATTACCTCAATCAATTTTGGCCTATTGTGACGACATTGACTACGCTTTATCTGACAACCGCCAGTGCTATGCCGGCGCAGACGCAGCCTGGTCAAGTAGTCGTGTGCGCCAGCCATTGCAAAGCTCCTCAAACCCTCCTACGACTTCACCACAGACACTGGCGCACTCTCGCTTTTGGAGTCTCTCACTCCAGTTGCCCCGTGACAACCACAGTTCACCTTCTTTGCGGAGGTCGCTCTCTCGCTTCAGCTCCGCCACGAGGTCCTTTGCGCTTTTTAGTCGTCGGGCGGCTATGGTAGTCGTTTGTCGGCACATGTGCAATGTGTCCGATAGGTATCTTAAGTTACCAATAAGGTCGGATGTAAGGGAATGTAGCGCCGTCAGAGAGTCATATGCCTGCGTGGCGGGGCGCGGCATGCATTCTGACAACTCGACGAAGAGGGGCAAGAGATCGTCCAACACGTCTGGGTGAGGGGGTGGAACGAGGGGCGACAATATGGGAAACGTCAAACTCTGCATCTGCCGGGTTTGATGTTCAAGATGTGTGGTGAGCGCTGCATGGGCTGTTATGAGTCTGATGTATGTTAGCTTCTATCCAGAGCTTGCCGACATGTAGCTCGCACTTACCTTGCTGCACTGCCTTCAACGCCAGTTTGCGATCCCAAATCTCTAAGGCTATCGGTGAGCCTCTCTAGGACACCATCCGCCGGGCTCCCGTTGTTTCCTGTTCCCTGCTGTGCTAAAGCCTCCACAGCATTCATTTCGGATATTAATCCAGGCATCGTCTCCAGTGAATCAGGCTCAATTTCAGAACAATATTCCCCTCCTTTGGAATCGCTTCTGCGCCGTCGATGACACCTTCGGGTGGGCGATAGATTGCCTAAGGCGGGCATCTCGGCAGCAACGTATTGTCCATTATCTGCCACACAAATGGGACAAGCGCGTTCACTGACTTCACGACATCTACAGACATCCTCTCCTAAGCCATCCTCGTTACAATGTTCAGCGGGGACCTCGTCTTCGAAACAGCCGTCCTCATCCCCCGAGTCCGAGAACGCGTCCGCCAGTTCGTCAGCCAGGTTGCCTATACCAGTTTCTACGGCCACGTCACTGCTGCTGAAGTCGTTTAAGTCGAGACTCCCTTGGCGATTGCCTGAAGCCGTCACAGTGTTGTTGGGCGAGGATCTCGATTGCGTTCGACCATGTGGCGAAGAAGGAAGGGTTGAAAAGTGCAAAAATGCGTCCATACTTGATATCGGTCGGGAGTGTCTCGGTGTCTGTGGTGGTGAACCCATAGCCCGTACAGGGTAGTTGACCAGGCCGTGATATTGACGTTTACGTAACTGGCATGGATTTCTCCACACACAGGATCCTCTGTCAGATACAGCGTAACCGGAACGGTAAAAATCGGGGTCAAAATTGAAGGGTAAAAAATTGATTGAGACAATTGTGTGTAATTGTATGTCGGACCGCTGCCACCGTAATGTTGTCGCATGGGCACAGACTATGCCTGACTAAGGGCTTCGGGCCTCGGGGATCTATCGTATAGGCAGGACCACGACGTGGTCTATAGGGGATCCAGGGGGGATCCACTCCCTGACTAAGGGCTTCGGACCTCGGGTATCAGGATATAATAGGGGCGGATACCGGAAAAGACCGGATAGGATCTAAATAATATAGTACCCATAACAGAGTCTTCACCACCTAAATTAAGGGTATAAGAGACTTATATAGATATAACTTAATATAATATATATACACGAGATTTCTGCTTTACTAAGTTAATTATCTAAGTGCTATTTAATGTACGATAGTTATAAGCCTAGTTTATAACGCCTAAACGATAGATATTAATAAGGCTACCCCTATTCTACTATAAAGAAGTAATCACGTCTATATAAGCACTTTTAAATAACTACTATCGACTTAATTAGAGTAATTAAGAGATTAATTAACCTACCTATTAATAAACTAACCGATAAGCGATAAACTAATAAAGATATCTTCTAACGTATCTAACGCCGAATAAAAGGCGGCCGCTATTACCCTTAATAACTAAAGGCATTAGGTAGTATAGGAGCCCGCTGCATATAGTAAATCTGTCTTATACTAGGATAACTATCTTAATCTAAAGCTAAGCGATAAGGAGGCTAACGCCTACCTCCTCCCTATACCTATACCGCCTAATATTCGTAAATATAAAGCCCTCGCTATAGACTCAAATACGGAGGAGGCCACGGCTACTGCTATTACGGCTACTCCGTCTTCTACTATCACGCTAAAAGGCGATAAGGACGCTACGGACGCCGCCGCTACTACGGCTATTACGGCCGCCGGTAAGAAGAAGACGGCCGCCTGCCGGAAGGTTATAACTATAGCCGTAATAAAAGAACTAACGACTAGGACGCCTATATCTATTAACGACCTCTTTAAAAAGGGGCGTACGCGTTACCTATAAGATCGCTATATATACCGCGAAGAAAAGGTAGACTATAACGCGTAGTAGAAGGAGTTTAATAAGGTACGCTCCTATATTAAAGGGCCTATCTATACTATATTATATAGCCTCCTAGCCTAGCTATAGAATAATACCGTAAATAATATATAGGCCTAGATTACTCTCCTATACGCGTATATAGAACTAATATCTATAGACCTCCGTAAGGAAGCCCTAATCCTATACCGATAATACACTACGCCTATAAAGGCTATACCTAAGAATATAAACGCTTAGGTAGTAAGCTAGAAAATAGCGATAATATACTATAAATAAATAGGCGTTTTAGAGTTATTAAGCGCGGACTATTAGGTAGAAGACGCGTTAAAAGCTATTAAACCTATCGTCTAGGAATAGAGTAATAACTACCTAATAAATAACTACGATAAGATTACGAAAAACGAGCTAACGATTAACGACTTCGTAAAGGCTTTACGTGCGGTTCTTAGTAATATAAAGAGCCTATAATCCTCCGCTATAAAGCCTAGAGTTAGGAGAGGCACCTTTAATACCCTCGGGAACCTCCCCGATACTACGGATACTACTAATAATAAAGATATTAAGAAGCGTCCGTATAGTAATACGTCCGTAAAGGCTATCCCTCCTATAATAAGGAGGCCTTATAAGACATATAAAAACCCCTATACTACCGCCGCCTATTAGTATATAAGGCCGGATATACGCCCTTATACCTGGCGTGGCCGCGAAGATATTATAAAGGTTATAGAAAAGAAGATACGTAACTATAGTTTTAAAAGCCGCGTGGATACAGCGATATAGAAAAGGCGGGAAGCCTTAGGGGCTATTACCGCTAATAAGATAAAGGAAGTCTAGGAAGATTAACTCTATAATACTATGCCTACGACTATAATAATTTATAAAGACTTATCCGTTACCGCGACGGCACTAAGAGCCTACCTAACCTAAGGGATAGCGCGTTATCGTACGATAATACTATTAAGCTTATAATAAGAATAAGGGGTATCCCTTTCTATTAACTAAGCTAGAGCGCTATTATACTACACGATCCTAGATTTAGGATCGCTACTTTACATCTTTAATAATTAAGGCCGTTTTACAGCTATTAGACTACCTATAAATACTTTATCTTTATCTATTTAGGTGGGTACTTATAAGGCTTCTATCCTCGGATACAGAGATATTAAGCTATATATATAATTCTTATTAGGCACGAAAAGGCTATTATGCCTCCGTAATATTATATACTATAAGGAATTCGTTACTAATATTATCTCGGCATACTAACTACGCCTATAAAGTTACCGCTCGAATACCGTAAACGATACTATGATTAGCTCCGCCGATAATCGGCCTATCTACAAGCTACTAGATTTCCATGGCTAGTATATAATCGAGCGCGCGGAAGCCACGGCTACTACCGCGTTCGCGGTCTTAGTAAGGCACCCCCGTAATAACCCGTATAGAAGATCACGATAACCGCCGTAACCGTAGAAGACTACGGTATAACAGTGGCACGAATGCCTTGGCCACTACGGCACCGATACTCTTATAAAGATTATTAACGCCACTTAAGGGGTAAAGATAAAGGGACCTTATATAATGGACTATAACGTATATAGGTAATTATAAGTGCCTACGTAGGATCCGGCGGATACTATCCCTTTACCCGTTAAAGCCCGGAGATGCCTTAGCTATTAACTTTTATAATCTAGAAGAGTCGGAATCGCTAGGCGGCCTCTATAAGTCTATTATATTTATTATAGACGTGTATAGAGGTTATACGTAGGATTACTACCTATAGAAGAGAGACTAAGGCTTTATCCTATATGCGTTAAAAGACGTTTTTACCCTGCTTAAGACTCAATTCGACGTTAGGCCACGCGATCTACGGGCCGATTCTAAGATATTTTAGCACCTAGAAGTCGTTACTTTCCTCGCTGCTAAGGGGGTAGAAGGCTAGCCGTCGGTATTATATTTATAGGATTAAAACGGCGTTATAGAACGGATTAGAGGTATCGTTAAAAGGAGGGCGAGGGTTATAAGGATTAGGGCTAATCTGCCCACGTCTATCTAGTCTAAGATCTTTAATACTACTATATATCTGTATAATAGGACGCCACGATATATTAATAACTAGCGAACGCTACATAAAGGCCTACACGGCCGTTAACCTAACCATATACACCTATAAGTATACGGCTATAAAGCCTTTATAAAAACGCGCGATACCTAAGCTAAAAGGAACCGCCTATAAAGGCTAAAACCAAAGGTATAGATCGGTTATCACGTTAGATACTATTCCTCAAATAGCTTCCGCGTATAGCTACTACACCTAACGGGTATTATTACTATAAGAGACGTGATCTTTAACGAAGATAAGACTTTTAACGGCAGGATTAAAACGCTATAAGCTATAGCTTCCGCTAAGAAACTCGGGGAACGCCTATAATCTATCTGTATTACCTAATCTAATCAGACCGCAAATAGGCTGCTATTAAGGGGTATAGCCGTAGACGTATTAGATCTTAAGTCGGAAGACTCAAACGCTACCGCTATTACTACGGGTAAAGGCGACACTACCGCTATTACTACGGATAAAGGCGAGGCCGTCGCTATTACTACGAGAGAGGCTACTATTATTACTATAGACTATATTCTACTTATTACAAGGTTTTAAATCTATAGCCTAATACCTAGTCTATAGATTTAGAACCTCGTAACTCTAACACCACCGCTATTATTAAGGGTAAAGGTAATAATACCGTTATTAGTACGGCTATGAAAATGCTACCACTATTATTATAGGAGAGGCTACCGTCATTACTATAGATACCGATACTATTACGGTTACTCCGCGGTTTACCGCTATAAGGTTTAAACCGTTTCCCACGCCTCTAAAATCCCCGGAAGATCCTATGCGCGCGTTCCTTATAGCGTTAGCGGTGGTTAGGGGCATTAAGGTGGAAGGAGACGATAATAATTAACGGGTAGCCGTGGATACCCTTAGGGGGTGCTTATTAGCCATACGCCTATTAGCCCCACGCCTATCTATTATAAGTATCTATAAAACTAAGAAGGTGTATAATAATAACGCCTAAAAAGCGTTCTTTAACGCTAGAAGGACTTATAACCTTATACATAGGAGGAAGTAAGCTATTAACGATAATAATATTATCGGCGCTAGTATTATAGATCACTTTCCCTCTAACGCCTCCCTATCACGCCTAACCCGCGAGGATCTCCCGCCTCCGCTAAACCACCACCGCGATATACGCCTTTACCCGTTACGGGAGCGGTGGTTATAGGCCGAGGGGGAATACCTTCAGGGGTACCGATAAATAGGCTACTAGTAGTAAGTCTATAATAATTAGGCTAATAAGTAATAAGTCCTCGTCTATAGATAGGTATATACCTATAAATTTCATAAGGAGGGTACGCTCCTTAAGTATAAGGCACGCCTTATAGTGTAAGGGGATTAATAAAAACGGTCAGAGACTAAAGATAACTACGCCGCTATAATAGCCTCGCGGTCTTTCTATATACTAATAGCTATCGCCGTTTAATTTAATATAGAAATAAGGCAGTTCGACGCTATTAACGCGTTCGTTAACGCTAGCCTTAAAAAAAGGTATTTATAAAGATACTATGAGGCTATAAAGTACTAGGTAAGGTCCTACTACTACGGAAAGCCCTCTTCGGCTTAAGAGTATCGCTACTATTATAGTAAGAGGAACTTAGCGGTACGCTGTAGAAGATAGGATTTATAGCCGTGCCTAATAACCCTTATATTATAATCCGTGATAGTTTAATCCTATTCTTCTACATTAACGATATTAGACTTATTTACAATAAAGACTGTAAGACTAACGCTAATAACCTTAAGGCCGTCCTTAAGCGAAGCTATAGGCTATTAGGAGGGGAAGAAATCTGTTAGTTCCTGAGAATTAAGGTCCTAAGGGATAGAGCCACCCGTAGGATATAGCTATTATAATCTTCCTATATAGAGAAGAT